CAGATTATTATTCTTACACATTCAGTTCTTCTTTAGTAAATCAGTCTCAAAACATGATCTAAAAATATATATTGTTTTGGCTGGATATAAGATTTTAAAACTTGGTTAGATGGACAGTTTTTGTAGTGTATTCAGCACTGGATGAAACTAAATTAAACTTCTGCACTTTTAGAGACTCCAAGTCCACAACAAAATGCATTTAACCACTAAAAAACGTGGATTTTGCACAATATGTCCCCTTTAAAGCAAGTTGAATTTGCTTCAAATGTCAACAAATTTCTCCAGATATTTGTTTTCACTGCAGATGTTCTAACTTTTACTTTCAGAAAAGTGAAACCAACTGTGATAACAGGACCTCAACCCCTCTGAGTGTTCTAAAAAGCCAATGAGGCAGAAGCTTTATGTCATGTTTAATACAATCAGTATCAAGTAACAAGTTTTCCTTATGAAGTCAGCTGAGACCGAAAGATACAAATGTTTGGGCGAGCTTGAGTTAGGTTTCTCAAAATCAAAGTTCACTAAATAAAGTGAGGTCAGAATATGAGAGGAACATAATAAGAGAATCTAATAATATTTTTGCCTCCTTCAAGGTCAGGTTACACAGGCGTCAGGTTCAGGGAGTGCCTAAAGACAAAAGTAGGAGGAGGTTTGTATTTTTTTTTTGCACAGGTCCATATACCAAACGCTTAGAAAAAAAACTGCTTTACAAACACAAATACTGTAGAATTTTATACTAACTTTCTTCTATCAGCTTCCATTTTAACTTTCACTCATTCACTGACTGCKGTGAAATGAGGTCATATTGTGTTCACTGCATTTCAAAAAACTAATAAAAAAGTATATTTATGTGCCCACACTGTGAGGCATTAAATGAACAATTACAAYCTACCTGCTGTTTTGGATTTTAATCAACTGTCTGCAAATAAATTCAATGCCACTTACCTGGGAAAAAAACTAAATTTAAAGATAACAATAGGGATGTCAGGAAGAATGTATAAAAGGAGAGGCGAGGGACAAGTAACATTGGCTGTTTGAAGTAGATCTGGGCAATAAARCGATAATGATATCTATCATTATAGACACGTGATCAATATCAATAAAAAATTGTCAAATAGAGTGTTGATAATTTCACTGAACTTCAATTCAGAACCACACGGCATTCTGGGGGATGCAGGCAGAGGAAAGGCTTTGATTTGATTTTTGATTTATTTATTTAACAGGAAAAGATTATTAAAAATCAAGGCTGACTCAGCATAAT